TCAGAACAATCTTTGTTCTTTTTTTTTTTCAAATTTACCAAGTCATTCTTGGAAATGACATCAAGCCTGCACCAACTGTCTAAATTTATATGCCTCCCTGCTTCCCTTGTAATGCTGTTTGTTCTCTGCTGCATAAGTATATCAGTCTCATTCCCCTATGGATCAACAGCTGAATTAACATCTTTTTTGCTTTATTTCTCTTCTACATCAGCAATAAGAAAGAATTGAACTGTGCTGTATTTAAGTGGAAAGAACTTAAAGTGTATTTTCTAGGCTTCATCCATCAATAATTTGTATATATATAAAAAAGCACTTAGGTACATCTAAATAAAAATCTTAATCTTTGGGCTATCTCTTTCATCTGTTGTCTCTTTCATGTCAAAGAGTCATTGGTAATAGTGACAGAAGAGAGGCCTATGAAATTTCGAACGATTTTTTTTTCACCCCAAAATGCTGATTCATTGAAAATGAAACATCACAAAAAGTCTAACTCTTCATAATGTTCTCACAAAGTTCACAACTTCTTTGCCAGTTCTGAGACACATGGCCTTATACCTTACATACCAGTTTCTGTCATTCCACAAAAGGAATAATGATGACAGTTCCCAAGACTGTTTCTACACAGAATGTTAGCACTAATTTGTTAATTAGATTCCCAGGATACTCAGCTGCAACAGCCTAATGAATCATTTGCTCTAAGTATCAAACACGGGGTTTTGGTGTCTGGCAACCCTTGTGGCCTCAGCTCCTGGCCTGGTGGACAGCCCACCTGAGATCAGGGACTTGTGTTGGGTTCCTTTTCAGTGACTTCCCAAAGCTGTAACCAGAACTTGTTTCTAATGTAGTAAGAGAAAGTTTGTAACTGTACTAAAAAATTACAAGAATGTTCAGCTTTGTACCAGAAGTGTCCTATATATATATATATATATATATATATATATATATATATGTGAGAGAGATAGCTGATGCAGGTGGCAGAAAACTATTTAAGAAATAATAGTATGTTGCTCACTCAGTCACTTTTAATATCTGTCACTGAAATTACAGCACATACAACACAGCAGAAAGAGGATTCTAATTTATTCTCATTTTCAGCTAAAAGCCAGCACATAAACTCTGCTTTTTTTCTATGACAACAGGCATGGGTCAACATCATTGCTGCTTAATTATGCCTTCTATAGGCCTTGTGAGGCAAAACCAAGGCTCATGCCTGGTATAAATTGCCAGGCAATAACATGAGGTCAATCCCAACAACTGGGTCTTCTACTACAGCCTTGAAAAAAAAACAGCTGTGAGGGGGGGCAGATTTGCACATGCAAATGCCTATCTGCCCCATGACCAGGCGGACTGCCAACATCAACCATGGATGGTGGTGTCTGGTCTGGGAGGAGAGGAGTCTGCATCCTGGTGGTTTGGGAGGGCAGCAGGGTCTATGGTGTTGGGATGGACCCTCCAGAGATGGACCCTCTGGGATATGAGGTGGGCTACTCTGCTACCTTGGGATGTGTCCATGGGAGATGAGGAGAGTCGTCGGTGCCCTATGGATGTGATGAGGAAGCTCTTTGGGCCATTCAGGACATGTCTGTGGGGTATGAGGAGGCTCCTTGGGCCCCTATAATTGTGTTTGAAGGAGACAAGGGGGCTCCCTTGCACCACATCCATAGCAGATGAGCCATCCCCCTGTCCCCCTTAGGACATGTCCAAAGGGGTTGGGGTCGAGGTCCCTCAAGATGTATCCGTAGGAGACAAGGGGGGATGTCAGCCCCTATCCACATGTGGGCAGGGGATGAGTGGGCTCCTTGGGGCCCTCAGGGCATGTCCAAGAGGACAAGGAGGGTCTCAGCTCCCTGCAGACATGACCACAAGTGGCACAGGGCACGTCCCGAGGAGGACGAGAGGGTCCCGGTGCCCGCAGCGAGCGCAGGGGCCGCCCACGCCAGGCGCGGGGCAGAGCGGAGAGGCGGCGGCGGGGGCGGGCGCAGGGCAGGGTGCGAGGGCCGGGGCTCGGCTCGCAGCCCCGGCCGCGGGAGGAGCAGAAAAGGGCGCGGAGCCGACGGGTTGAGCGCGGGAGCGTGTTGGGGTGCGGAGGAGGAGCCGCCGGGCGCAGGCGGGAGCTGCGCGGGGCAGGTGCGGAGCCGCCTCCGGCAGCCGCGGGGGCGGCCGCCCCTCATGGTGCCGCGGCGGGCTCGGCGGAGCGGCGCTGAGCGGCGGGCATGAGGAACCTGCCGCTCCTCCTGCTCCCCCTCTGCTGGAGCCTGGCGCGGGTAAGTCACTCGCGTGGGGAAGGAGCGGCCGGCGCCGGCCGAGCGCTGACGGGAGCCGCGGCTCAGGGGGCGGCGAGACCCCGACCCGCCCTGCCGCTTGAGCGGAGCCCCCAGGGGCTCCCTTTCTTCTCGTTTTCCCTTTTCCAGCCCCTCTGCCCCTTCTCTCGGCCGTGCTGCCGAGGGAGCCGCGGAGCCCGCGACCGCTCCGCTGCAGCTGGCGGAGCGTCGGGAATCGGGAGTACGGGAGGCAGCATGGTGTAGTTAATATCTCCGTAATGCCTCTTGTCTCTCTGATCTCGGTACTCTCTAAGAGCACCGAGTATCGGGGATGTTACGGTCCTCAGGTGCCAGGGCGCTGCTTTACTATCTTCGTGCTCTCGAGGTTTTTTTCTCAGTTGCCAGAAAGTGGGTGATGTTCCCACGGCGGGAGGTGCAAAGGGGCGCTCCCCACACCCCGCCTTTTTTTTTTTTTTTCTTGTTTTTTTTTGTAAGCTTAAAATTACAGATCATTCCCACAGAAGTTAGGAAACCACGGTGACGCCGAAAGTTAAATACTAGTCAGAGGATATTTTTTTTTTCCTCTGTTAAAGCTGCTGTTCTGGGTGCCTTAACTGCTCCGCTGTTACAAACGCCGTGAGAGCCCTGAGCTGGCCCTGCGGCCAGCGGTGTGTCCGTGTTAACGCGCAGCACAGCCGTGGGCGCGTCGCTCCCAAAACTAATCTGGTCTTGAGCGAGGCGGTGGGATAGAGGGTGAAAAGGTCTGAACCACCCTGAGAGGTGGTGAAAGCCTCAAAACCCGCTCCAGGGCTCCCGTGCGCTTTGAGGCGCGGCCGGTGCCGCAGTCCCGAGCCCTGCAGCGCGTCCGAGCCGAGCTCGGGTCGCTGTTACAGGAAAGTCTCTTTCTGTTTGGCGTGTGCTCGGTGTTTGAAAAGTAACCCTGCCTTGTCTTAGGGTACTGCCAAGTTTATCTCCTCCAAGTAATCTTCGGCATCAGATGGTATTGGGAAACTTGGAGCTGTCTGATTAAAAATGAGGGAAGTCACTTGCTCACAGGTTTCCTCACTGAAGCAGCTGCTTTCTTTTACCCCTCGTTTAGTTAAAATCCCTGTTTACCGGATCTTACCAAGTCCCACTAATTACACCTCTTTTTGAGTAGGAGACTTCTCTTCTATAACTGATTTTTTTTTAATAAAATAGATCTCAAAATATAATGCAAAAGAACTTGCATTCTAAAACAATTTATTTACATGTACATTTAGGAGCTGTCTGAAAGGCAGGTGATAAACTGAAAATACCTGCATTTTTAATGTAATAGCATGGAAATTTCCAAATTAAACAATTAGAAATTTTAATTTATGCTAAGGCTGCATTAAAAAATGCTGGGGGGAAAAAAAAAAACCCTGCCCTGACAGCATGTAATTTAAATAGTCAAAATAGAGAAAGGGAGGGCAAAGAGGAAGTGGAGTTCTCATTTTGTAGAAGGGGAAACGAGGCATTTGGAGAAAAACAGATTTTCATGAGTTTTTCCTAGTAGCTCCTGCTACAGCCTGGGGCTGTTGTGCCATGTTTTGTAAAGCGGAGTAGCTTCCCTGCAAGGAGACTACGGTGTAAGCAGGTGCTCATCCCAAGGTTGTGGTTTCAGGGGTCTGGATTAGAGCTTAGTTAAGAATTCTCACTTTGGAATAAGTCTCACAAACCAGAGACTATTATTTTACTGTTAAGTCTTTTCCAGGGAAAAAGGCGATTGATAAAGAGGAAAGAAACTTTGAGAGGGAAAGATATCCCTCTTTTCTTTGTAACGAAGAAGTACCCAGATGTTTACGTCTTACTGTGTTCTTTAAGTTTTTATTTGAACTAGTCTTGCCATCCCTTTGTACATTCACACTTTCCCCTTTGTCGTTTTCCCATTTTCTTGCTCTGTCGTTTCTCCCATACGGTTTGTTATGAACTGCCCACGTTCTTCTGTTCGGCTCAGCTGGCTTCAGTGCAACTTCCCTGTGTCTTGTCCCTCTCACATTCCCTGCTACATCTGTCCCTTCTCCTGGACACAAATAACACCTCTTGAAAATCTGAGTAGAACTGGTAACAGGACCATAAGCAAGTAAAACTTGCAGTCTTTTTTGTTTTAAGAGGAGATATTTTATATATATATATATTTTTTTTTTCCTGATGTAATGCTTGCTTGAATCTGGGATATTTAGGAGATAAAATGTACTTTGTCATCTTTAACATGGTAAATTTTGCTTTTCTTTTTTTCCTAGTCTGAACAGTTTTCACATCCTGTGATTCATATTAAACTTTGAGATTTGATTACTTAATATAAAAGGGGAAAAAAAAAACCTAGATGCATTTGCTTTCTTGCTTCAGTCTTGCTGCTAGAGTGCAGATTAAATCACTGTTTTTTGAGAGGAAAAAGTCTCAGTGAACAGTGTTGGCGAATGCACCGGGAAGTTAGGAATTCTCTGGTTAATGACACTTGGCTCTGGAATGCTGCAAGAAGGAGGCAGTGAGGGCTCTTTTTATGGCAGTGCGTTATTTTAACCTTTTGTTTTTGAGAAGTCAAACTGTGAGAAGTTAAAATGGGCAATGACTGTGTCTGTGAAATGCCTGGCATATCCTTGGACAAAAATGGTGCCAGTTAAAGATGTGGCTTCCAGCAGAGGTAGTTGCATCCTTGGTAAAACATTTTGAGTGCTTCCACTCAATGATGTGTTCGTTAACTTGCAACAGGTGAATGGCATCCATCCAGAATGCAGATTTCAGCTGGAGATTCATAAGGAGGAAACGAGGTGCATGGAGCTCCTAAAGAATGCCAAACCAGTGGATTACAGAGGTAAGAAAGGATGAGCTGTAATGTGGACAAAGCTCCAGTAATGAAGCTTTTCTCCCTTTTGCTTCTTTGCTGGCTCAACCACAGTTGCCGAGCCGTTTTGTACGGTGCTTATTTTTATTTACTGCAGAATTCAGGCTGTCTTTGTGTTAAAAGTGCAGCTGTAGTGAGGGGTGGGAGGTGTGCTGGGCTAGAAACACCAAGTGAGACACTAGGTGGGAGCAAATGTGCACTCGTGCTTTAGGCTGTGGCTGCTCGTGCTCTTTTGCAGGCAGAGAGGCAGGCTTGTGATGATGGGGAGAGCAGAAAGACAGGGAGACCCAGAAACCCTGGGAAACCATGTCTTCCCAGAAAGACAGGGAAACCAAAAGCCTTGGATCTTGGATCTCAGCTGTGGACTATCTTAGAAAGTGGAATGCTACTCTCAAAAGTGGTGAGAGCGATCACTGCATTTCATCAGAGAAGTTGCTTTAGGCAGAAGATCAGATTCACCCTCGGAAGTCCATAGAGTCATGTGAAACCTAAATGTGACAGTGGTTTTACAGTTAAGAATCAAATTTACTCTGTTACATTATTGTTTTAAGTTCTTTTTTTTTCTTTAGATAGGCAGGTAGATATGATCAATCATAACCTAAGGCAGGAAAGAAAGGAAAACACTTTTTTAATCTTTTGCCTAGATTTTCTTGCTACAGTATCATGTCAGTAGAACATAAGACTATGAGAAAAAAAGAAACAAAACAGATGACTTTTTCCTGAAAGTTGCTACTGAAGTTTTTTCAGCAAGTCAATAAAGTGTGAAAGTAGGTCCAGAATGGCACAGATAACAAATCCGTAAAATTAAAGTAGCTAGGATACCAGCATTGAGTGAGAATTCAGTAGAAGTCTGAAGAGTTTTAAGGCAAGTTGGAAGAATGCATTTATTCAACTTTATTTTTAATGTTGAAGGTATTAGTACTTAAAGGGGTGGTGTTTTTGTAAAACTATGCCAACATGTGTGAGCAACAAGCACTTTCAGTGCCCCTGGTGTTGAAAGAGTAGTTCTTCTTCAAGTGCTCACATATGCGACCAGTCCAGTGTTCTCCTGCTAATGTGCCTAACATTCAAAGGAAAGAGTGGGCTTCCAGAGAGGCTTAAAAAATGGGAAATGAATCTTAGATGTTAAAAATATTTATAAAAGCAACTTATTCTTTTTCAGTATTAAATTTTTTTTAACAAAATCATGATTTAACTAAAATTCCTTGCATTGTCAGAATCCTTTCAAAGTAGCTGAAAATAACTACTTTCACATTAGTTCTAAACAGCCATAAATCTAAGCAAGTCCTGCATTTTGGTGTGGTAGTCCAGGTACTTATTATCTCAGAATCATAGCTCATTGGAGGACTGCAGCACAGCAGTGCAGTTATTTCCTTGGCTGAGTAGGTGATAGATAGGATATGCCTTTTTCCATGTTCAATCCCTTCAGGATGTGATTCTGAAGAATGTTATGGTTGCCCAAGGACTTACCATCTGCAGTGCCCTTAAAGCATAAACACGAATTTCAGCTCCTGAACCTTTCCCCATCTCTCTTCTTAATTTGAGTGTGTAGTTCCCTCAGTGCATACTTCAGTATCAATTTGTCTACAAAAATAATAATTAGAAGGATCATCAGCAGTTTATATTTCTCCTTTTGATTAATTCAGATCAGTAATTACAAAAAAAAAAAAAAAAACCAACAGAGAATCATTTGTATTCCAAGATTTTGCTTGGAATAGATATTCAAATAATTCATCTACATTTAGATTTTCTTTATTTGAGTGGTAAAATGATGGCTGTTGCATAAATAATACCAGTGTAAAGCCAGATGGAGAACTAATTATTAGACATGCTTAATGAATTAAATCTTGAATTAATAAATTCACTGTTAGCAATGTTGAGGCTTTGGAAGTCAGCTTGCTTCAAGATGCAGCTCTGATCTCCCAGATGCTGGTCTGCTCTAAGAATATGTTTGCGATAAGCACAAGTTTCAATTTTTACTTTCTTATTTTCCTGGGAGAAGAGAGAGAAATTCTGTCAATAGGTTCTTGAAAGGCTCCTTTCACTTGGAAAACAGTGGCCTCCTGAAGGCAACTGTCTTATAAGAACTTCATGTCATGGAAGCAGGCAGTATGTCTAATACTGTTGATTCAGTCCTGCAGGTAGAGATAAAACAGCAGTGGGAGGATTTGTACATTTAATTGAATGCCTGTCTGAAACTAATGGAATATTCCATTTTGTAGGAGCCTGGAGTGAGGCTTTTGAGGTAGTGAATCCAGCTTAGAAAAGTATGTTTAATGTGCTAGGAAAATTTATCCTATGCTGCATGTTATGGATAGCATCACCAAGAACTTGTCCAGATGAGTCTATGTTAAAAATATTCGTTTGTATATCCTTAAAAAAAACTACTTTGTGCTCTTTTTCTAATCAATAAACTCTCCATACACTTAAAAATGTAGGTAGTCTTTTGAATAGAGATTGTTATGGTGCTACTCTGCTGATAAAGAAAAACTACTAATGCAAATTGGCAAGTTGGAACTATTCCGAGTCTGAACTCTACCTGTAGAACTTGTATTACACTTGAAAGATATTTTAAAAAATCCCCCAAAACTACTTTTTTTTTCTTCTCCCCTGAAAGGGAAGGAGGATTATACAGCCGTTGTCACACAGCTGTGTAAGTGTAGTGCATTAGTTGCTGTCTAATTTCAGTATGTATTACTTGCATCATTAAAGGTATAATGAAATCCCGTGGGAGTTGTGGGATGGAACTTGGGAACAGAGGTTCACTGAGTTTGTCTGCTGGAGGCTTGGGCCTCTGTTCTCAAAATGAGCAGAAATTTTTCCACTGACTTAGGAAAGCTTCTTAGGTGCCCCTATTTCTGCCTGCCAGGCTCCAGAACCTGATGGGCCTGCGTAGCTGCTGCATAATGAAGGGATAGGCAGTTAATCCTGCTGGATGGGCAGCTTCTCCTTTGGCCTGGAAGGCAATTAATTACGGAACTCCTTAGCTAATATTTCAACATCAGTTAAGGAGACATAAAAGAAAGGTTTAAAGACTGCTACTGTATTTTTTTGATGATATAAATCAATCTTCTTATCTTCCTTGAGCTGCATATAACATGGGCTGAAGAATTTAATTGAGTAACTTCTATGGTGTTCCTAAAATTGTTGACTATGAATTCCATGAAGGACCTGTTTGCTTCACGGTTTAACAAAGCAATTGTGTGTTTTGCTAAGAAAAGTTGTATTAATGCTGTGTATATATCCTTTAAACCCGTGTCAAACATATATAAAAAGCACAGAACCCATTCTGTCAAAATATTTTTTTGGCTAGTGAAGAGCATTACACTCATTTAGACTTCCCTAAGTCACTCCAAAGATCTGTGGCAGCACCTGCCTCTTTGGTGATTTCCAGCAAATCTCGATGCTTACTTCATGGGATGCTTACTTCATTAGCTTCTGTCCACATCTGTTGTCCTCCTCCCTCTTGTAATTTGACAGCTAAGATATGGATACAGTTGTACATAAGATAAAAGCCTAAGATAGAAATTAATGAGTCTGGACTGGGCTATAATTCATCAAACTTCCAGAAACAAGAGCACAAAAAAGTCCTAAGTTGTTCATAATAGTTGTAAAAATTATGTTTTATATAGCAATAGCAGATATAGCAGATCTTTATTTACTTTCAACCTTACTGGCAGTCCCCCATTACCTCTTTTTTTTTTCTGCACTACCCATGCAGAAGCAGTTCAAGATCAAATTACAACCATCTGCTAACCACAAAAAAAGTATTTATTTAGAATTTTAGTAAATTATTTCATTCAACTTTAAATGAAATGTAAATCTCATGGTGAAAAACTAAAACTCACATCCATTCAGATATATTGGTAGACTTTATAACAGGTTTCTGTAACAAAAGCTACACAAATATTTTTATTATGGGGAAAAATGGCTTTTCAAATTAATTTTGAACTGAATGGCTGCACAGTTAAATCGGTCTTTTCAGCTCTTGCTTTCCAAATGTGTTCTTATGAGCCCTGTATGCCAGATAACATTTTTAATTTTAGAGATGACGTCTTAAATTTGAGGATGGGATATGGACAAAAAGAGAAATGACTTTGGAAAGAATTTGTACAGAACAATTTCATAAACCTTTCAAGGAGCAGCTTGATCATGCCGCCAAGTAAGAGAAAATTAAAACAGACAGGACTACCAAAAGGATACTCTCACTTACTCATAAATCTAAAGCAAGAGGCACCAATGTCACTACCTAATCTCCTGAATTAGGCTGTGAGTAGAATTTCATTTGGTGATCAGCACCATCCTTAGGGTGTTGTGGAAAAATACAGCCCATCTTTCAGAGTGCTCTTTGGAATTACAGGATGAGTATTCAAATGATAGACTTGTTGCAAATTATCCCAAAGTTAGACCTAAGAAGCATTAGTGAGATAAACTATTCCTCCAGTAAGAGAGAAGTCCCCATCTTGTGTTTAAGTGCTCTAGCATGAGGGATGGTTGTCACGAGTATAGTTACCCCAGCCTGAAGATGAATCTGCCCTGCACATCAGTAGAAGAATTAAGAGAATTACGCAAAGCTAGATGAAACTTCTTGCTTGCTCTGTGAGGGGGGGAAAAAAAAGGGTATGGATCAATCTCCTCACGTGTTTCTTAGTGCTCTCAGGAAAGCTGCAGTGCTCAGTCTTATCAAAGCATTCTGTAGTTACTTCTTGAGGATTTTTTTTTTTTCCCCAAAAAGATGCCTTTTCAGTAAAACGAATCGGTCCTTCAATCTGAAGGGTTGTTTAGAGTAGACAAAGTAGAGTTAAATGTAGAGTTAAAGGAGGTAGATGGTTCCTGAAGCTTTCTCTTGTACAGCACCTGTAACTCTTGGCAGGACAGCTTCAGTTTTCTTTAAGCTCTGTGCTGTTGCTTTCCTTACTATACGACAGTCATGCTGCTACTTTTTTAGTGCATGGATTTTTATTTTTTTT